TGCAGGGCTATCTTTTTTTATTTATTTTAAAGTGCCAGGAGGCTGTGGCTGGGTGGAGGATGGGGCCAGGCAGGGCAGGGCAGCCATGAGGGCTTCTCCTGCAGCTCCCCTCACCTGGAGGGAAGCAAGCATAGCCGGAGGAGCCATGGGAGAACCTGCAGCCTCCCATCTGTGCTTGCCTCTCCCCGGCTGATCCGAATCTCCGCATCAGTGCCAAATCTCCGATTTCTAATTTGGCCAAATCCAAATGGGGGACAGTGATTTCGAACCACTGAATCGAATCACTGTCCTCCAAACCGGCCGAATCCAAAACGAATCCTGTTCACGCAGGGCTACTGCCTAATAGCATAGTCTTTCATTTCTTGCTATTGTTCTGTTCTGAGCAGGAAAAAGTTTTCTAGTTTAGTGGAATTCAGTGATTAGGAATTGAGTAAACCTTGATTTTTAACATGTTGCTAACCCATAGTTGTAAAAAAAAAAAACAAAAAAAAAACAAAAAAAAAAACCTAATGTCACCAGCATGGTGCTGTTCGTTGAAAAACGGTGCCTGCACTTTAGGAAGGTATGAAGTATCTCAGCCCAAATATAGTCCTAGTATAAAACCTGAACTGCAGGACAAAATACTGGGGAGTGTGAAGATGGGGTTAAAGAGAAGTTAACTCATCTTGTTTTCCTGGGGCTATTCCCTTGAAGTAAGCCTCTTCCTCATTTGTTAATCCACCTTCAGAGTTTGAATAGCTGGTACTTTTCCCTGTATGCTGGGTAGAGCAATAACAGATTGATCCACAGACCTCTTACAAATTCCATGATGGTCCCCCCTGTAGCTGCTAGGGAAATAGTCTTTTCAGCATTCAGGAGGTGTTTACTTTTGTACGAGTTCATTAAACTGCTTTTCCATACGAAGTAGAAATTATTGATTCTGCTAAGACAATCCATTGCTGAAAAGGTTAGGGAAGAAATTTTTGTCCCAACAGAAGTGTAACCTACCTCCAGTTTGACTCGGTGGCTCGTTGATACTGAATCTTGTCATAGTTTTTCCCCTTGAAAATACAAGATGCATTGAACTTCTGAGGGGCATCTACTGTTTTCCAGCTCATAGTCCAGTCCCTGCATCACTTGCAGTGGTATTGGCACATGGGGGCTATGTCTCACCAGACTTTTCAGAGTTTGGTAAAAGAGGTCAATTGAGCCTTCTCTCTAACTTCTAATGTATCAAAATGCATCTGAACCTGGATTTTAAGGATGCCTTTAAAGTAAGGACTAATTGGGCTGTTTATGTCAAGTTACAACTTACTTTTCCTGTTTCTCTTTAAGTTTACTTTACGTTAGACTTTCTTGATCACTTAGTGTAGTTTTAGGCTGCAGAGGAGTTCTGGAACAGCTGTTACATCCCCTCTTTAGCATGTACAGATGCTGTAGAACAGTGGTTCTCAACCTCTTTTATACCAGGACCCATTTATAAATTTCAATGACCAGCCCCCACAGTGTGTGGGACACAGGGGGAGCAAGCAGCTCTGCCAGCCTGCAAGCAAAAACCCAGAGTTTCCCACCTTTTTCTCTTTTAAAGGAGAATCTATTGTTAAAGTTTTGTTCATGACCTTTTTGTATATTCTTGTAGCCAACTTAGGTCTCGACTCATGGGTTTAGAAACATTGCTGGAGAGCAGGGGTGTCAAACTCATCCAGTCCTATGAGCTGGATTAGAGTTGCTGGGCTGTTCTGCTGGCTGGACCAGGACAGACCCCCTGTGTAGCACCCGTGGTACTGGGTCTAGTTGGCACACTGGCCCCTGGGGCCAGCATGGGGTGCATGCTGCCCACAAAATGTTGCATAATGCTATACGTGCCCTGCGTTAGTTCTGGAGGCTGCATGTAGACTGAGCCCTGGGGCCGGTGTGCGTTGCGTGTGGGGTTGGAATGGTTGCGCATGCTGCAGACAGTCACAGGGGGCTGGCATGGGGTGCATGCTCCATATGGTACTCTGCCAGACTGGACCTATGCGCTGGCTGTGGTCTAGCCTGATGCACTACATGCAGCACATGCTGACCCCAGGACTTGCCATGCACTCAACCTCTAGAGCTATCACTTGGTGTGCCCTGCTCATGGCATATGGCCTGGACCTGGTGCTGCAGGTGGACAGGGGGTCTGGGGTACAGGCTACATGCAGTGCTCTGGACTTACCCCCTCACCCATGCTGTCTGCAGCATGTGGGACTGGGGCTGGTGCACAAGGTTGGTCTACAGACCCATGGATCAGATCTGGCCTAAGGGCCATATGTTTGACACCCTGCTGTAGAGTACAGGCCAACCCATTTTAGTAGGAAACAGCTGGCTGTGGAAGGTTTTAGATGCTTTTGATCCCAAAAGGCACTAAATTTCAAGTGTCAAGTATGCACAGTGTCATAGAATCATAGAAAATTAGGAAGAGACTCCAGGAGATTATCTGGAGTCCAACCCCTTGCTCAAAGCAGCACCATCACTAGCTAGATCATTTACAGACAGGGCTTTGTCAAATCAGGCCTTAAAAACCTCCAAGGATGGAGATTCCACCACCCCTGTAGGTAAACGGTTCCAGTGCTTCACCACCCTCCTAGTGAGAGAGTTTCCTAATATCTAACTTAAACCTCCCTTGCTGCAACTTGAGATCATTGTTCCTTGTTTTCTCATCTGTCACCACTGAGAACAGTCCAGCTCCATCCTCTTTGGAACCACCCTTGAGGTAGTTAAAGGCTGCTATCAAATCCCCTGTCTTTTCTGCAGACAAAATAAACCGAATTTCCTCAGCCTCTCCTCGGAAGTCATGTCCTCAGTCCCCAGCCCCCTCACCATTTTTGTTGCTCTCTGCTGGACTCTCTCCAATTTGTCCACATCCTTTCTAAGGGGGAGGATACAAAATCTGACACAGTGCTCCAGGTGTGGCATCACCAGTGCAGAATAGAGTGGAATAATTACTTCCCTTGATCTGCTGGCAGTGCTCCTCCTAATGCACCCTAGTATGCTGTAAGCCTTCTTGGCAACAAGGGCACGCTGCTGACGTATGTCCAGCTTATTGTCCACTGTAACCCCCAGGTCCTTTTCCTGTACAGCTGTTTAGCCAGTCAGTTCCCAAGCAGTAGCAGTGCATGGGATTCTTCCATCCTAAGTGCAGGACTTTGTATTTGTACTTGTTGAACCTCATAAGACTTCTTTTGGCCCAGTCATCCAATTTGTCTAGGTCACTTTGAATCCTAGCCGTACCCTCCAGTGCATCTACTATACCCCCAGCTTGGTGTCATCCGCAGACTTGCTGAGGGTGCAAGCCATCCCATTTTCCAAATCGTTAATGAAGATGTTGAACAAAACTGGCCTCAGGACCAACCCCTGGAGGACTCCACTTAATACTGGCTGCCAGTTAGACATTGAGCCATTGATTGCTACCCGTTGAGCCTGACAGTCCAGCCAGCTCTGCCCAACGTGCAGTCCATTCATCCAACTTGTACTTCCTCAGCTTGCTTGCAAGAATGCTGGCTTGGGAGACTGTATCAAAAGCCTTGCTGAAGTCAAGATATGTTGTGCCCACTGCTTTCCCTGCATCCACAGAGCCAGTCATCTCATCGTAGAGGGCAGATTGGTGAGGAATGACTTGCCTTTGGTGAATCTATGCTGTCTGTTCCTAATCACCTTCTCCTTCAAGATGGATTCTTTGAGGATCTTCTCCATGATTTTTCCAGGGACTGAGATGAGGCTGACTGGTCCATGATTCCCTGAATCCTCCTTCTTTCCTTTCTTAATGATGGGCTCTATACTTGCCCTTTTCCTGGGACATCCCCAGTTGCCACGAGTTTTCAGAAATGATGGCCAGTGGTTTTGTCGTGACTTGAGCCAGTTCCTTCAGCACCCTCAGATGCATTGCATCCAGCCCCGTAGACTTGTCCACGTCCAGCTTTTCTAAATAGGCCCTAACCTGTTGTTTCACCACTGAGGACTGTTCACCTTCTCCCCAAACTGTGCTGCCTGGTGCAGTAGTTTGGAAGCTGATCTTGCCTGTGAAAACAGAAGTAAAAAAGGCATTGAGCACTTCAGCCTCTTCCTTGTAATCTGTTACTAGGTTGCCTCCCCCATTCCGTAAGGGACCCACACTTTCCCTGACCTTCCTCTTGTTGCTAATATATTTGTAGAAACCCTTTTTGTTCCCCTTCCTGTACCTTACTAGCTGCAATTCCAATTGCTCTTTGGCCTTCCTAACTTCATCTCTGTATGCCAAAGCAATATTCTTATACTCCTCCCGTGTTGTTTGTCCAAGCTTCCCCTTCTTGTTAGCTTCCTTTCTGTGTTTACGGTCACTGAAGAGTTCTCTGCTAAGTCAAGCTGGTTGCTTGCTACATTTGCTATTCTTCCTGCGTGTCAGGATGGCTTGTTCCTGTGCCTGCAGTAAGGCTTCTTGAAAATACAACCATCTCTCCTGAACTCCTCCTTTTCCTGTCAGACTGGCGTCCTAGGGTATCCTGCCCATCAGTTACCTGAGGCAGTCAGTCTTCTTTTCTGAAGTTCAGGGTCCACACTGCTGCTCTCCTCTCCTCTCTTCTTTTTGTCAGGATCCTGAACTCAGTCATCTTATGGTCACTGCTGCCCAACTTTTCATCCACTTCTACATCCCACACCAATTCTTCCCTGTTTGTGAGCAGTAGGTCAAGAAGAGTGCGGCACCTAGTGGGGCAGCGTCCTTCACCCTGGACTTTTTGCAAGAGGGCGTTCCTCTTTTAATTTTGGTAATAATATAAGTTTGCCTCTTAAATTTTAAGAGGTTTTTTGGAGAAACACCTACATCCATATGATTTGCCACCTCTTTGTAGAAAAGTTTTATTTTTCACTGTTTCTTAAAGTCTCAATTGCAGATTTGTGCAAAGAAATCCATTTTCAAATAGAACTGCTATATCACTTGTGGTGTTAATTTCTCAGTATATCAGTATAATTTGTTTATTCTTCCTTCAGGTTTTGAAACGACCAGAATATTTTGGGAAGTTTGGTAAAATACATAAAGTAGTTATCAACAACAGCACATCATATGCAGGCTCACAGGTAAGGCAGTGGGGGTTCTAATGTTTGTGGTGCTAATGAGAGAGGGGATTAGCTGCGTTAGTCTGAAGTCAGGCAGGAAGTGGGATGGGGCAGCAACTTAATCCAACTTGTTCAGAAAGGCAAGAACTTTCGTCAGATGCTGTGTCTATGGAAATAGGTTGCTGTCTATGAAAGCTTATGTCTCTCTTAATTATGTCTCACTTATCACAGGGTAAGAGTGTATATGTGAGCATTTACTGCAGAGTGTAGGTGATCATGGTTAAAAAAAAAAAAAAAAAAAAAAAAAAAAAAAAAAAAGTGTCATCATCACCTTGCTGTATATTTTGTTTGTCCATTCACCAGTATCCTCATTTTCTTAAATCTCTAGCATTTATTTAAAAAAGGGGGAAAAAACCAACAACTCCCATGAACGTAAAGCTTTTAGCAAACTTCAGTTTTAAGAATCCTTTTTCCCAGCTATCTATAATATTTTTACTTAGATAAATTTCATTAGACTTTTACATTTAAATACTTAACCTCAAATTTAGTCAGATTGCTAACGAGTCATTCTTTCAAATAAATAACAATACTTATCCAGAAATAATTGAACACTGTGGGATACTTCCATTCTAGGGTCCGAGCGCAAGTGCGTATGTAACCTACATCCGGTCAGAAGATGCTCTGAGAGCTATACAGTGTGTTAATAATGTGGTAGTAGACGGCAGAACACTTAAGGTAATATTGTTTTGTGGACTGTTATCTGCATGTGCAAAGACTGTAGCATTAAGTGCAGATTCTAAAAATCTGCTTCTTCAGATGCATTGATATATTAGTGAAGGAAAGCTGCCAGTTAGGTGCAGTGTTCATGTAAACCAACTTTTTCAGTCTTCGATTGTGTATATATGTTGCTTACTAGTCAAGTGAACTTCCTGGAATTTTATTTAAACTTATAGATAACTTGTCAAGAGTTTCAGTTAGTTTGGAAAAAGCAATGGTGCAAAGCTTTACTGTATAAATTAGAACTGTATTTTGAAAATAGTTAACACTTGGATTTCCATAGTATTTCATGAAAGTCTGAACCTAGGAAATGGGTGAAGCTAAAAATGGAGAGATGTTCTCTGTTGTGATATAAAATACACCTGTCTGTTTCTGTCTTGCCTTCCCTTCCTTTTGTTATTCTGGCATGTTGACTTTCTTCAGTCCCTCTTGCTAAGATGTTTATCAGTGATCACTCATGAAGCACCTTTTCCTCCTTGGTTGTGTTTTTTTTTTTTTACCAGCAGTCAGCCAGGGCGCAAGAATACTGGCCCAGAAGTCAGGCCCAGGTTTCTTGTGAGACCAGAATATTAACCATAACATCCCATGCCCACCATCTTAACTTTAATTTTTGTCCTCAACTTCTTCACAAGCTCCATTTTATTAGTTAGTTGTGTGCTTTACAGACAGTATGTGAAGCTTGAATTGAAAGGGAGTAGTTATTTTTATCCTAACACACTTGATGCTGTACAGCCAACAAATTACAAGAGTTAACTCCTTGGCGAATAGGCAGTGCGTGTCTCCTGGGGCTGGGAGCTCATAGTGACCGCCTGCAGGTGGTGGCCAGGGCGGGCCGAGTGGGGACTGTCCTCAGGCAGCTGCAGTGATGTTGGAGGGGGGCTTCCCCCCATGGCCAGACTTCGAGCCCAGAAGTGCCACTTCTTGCAGGGTGCTGGGCACCAGTGCTCCACCTGCCTGTCGCCTAAGCCTAGAGTGGAGTGCTGGCTCTCGGGGCCGGGGGGGTACGGGACAGGACGTGCACCCCCTACCCATCACCTATGCCTAGGCAGATTCTAGAGAAACTTTCATGGTAGGATTTTTGCAGTAGCTGACACATGCTAAGAAAGTCCTGTAAGGAAGGCAGGTATGTTTTTGCCTTTTTACACAGAGGTAAATGGAAATGTAGGTTGATTTCCTAAAGCTGGTGGCAGAACTACGTGTAGAACCTAAGAGTCCTGAGCCTGAACTCTTTTATCTGATGTTTTGAGGAATGGCCCTGGAATGAATATACCCTGTAATAAAATACAGGCTTGTAATTTGAAGGGTTTTTTTCTTATTCTTCATAGATATGAAAATATTTACTCATGCTTGGCTTTGTTTTTTTATTAGATCATAAATTACTTGAAGTAATTCTGATTTTCATAAGTCTCATGTCACTAGCTTCATATTTAACCCTCAAAAAAACTTGTTTAGATTAAACGGATTTTTATTTTAGGAAGCTGTGCTATAATTTGACACAACTGTTTTTTTTCCTATACTGTAAATATGATTTGTCTCTTTCTCCCCCTCGCTTGTTTTAGGCTTCTTTAGGTACAACAAAATACTGCAGTTATTTCCTAAAGAATATGCAGTGTCCAAAACCAGATTGCATGTATCTACATGAGCTGGGGGATGAAGCAGCCAGTTTCACAAAAGAGGAGATGCAGGTACATACACGGAGAGGAACATTCTCTTCAGAATGTAAAAGGATACTTGACAAATTGGATGTAGCTGGTGGTGCAATTGGCTACATTTCCTTTAAGTGTGGTGCTTCTGTGGGCTCAGAAAAGGAATTCCTCAATAGATGGAAAGTCAATGGGATTGTAAGAGCATTTAAATGGTGGTTTTAGGAAAAATTCCTGATTACATCATCTTCATCTGATGAAAAGGGTGCTAAGTAGCTGCAAGAGTACAAAGATGCTATGAGGGTAATTGTGCTACAGCAGAATATTTCTGTAAAGGTGCAGCATTTGTTACAAATGCCTCAGAAAAGTGTGTTTTATTTAGAGTGGGGAGAATAAGGAGGTCTCTCTCTGTCCCTGAAAGCTGATAACTTGTTTCAAAGTGATCTTGGAAGGATTGTCTTTTTGAGTCTGGATCAGTGTAGCGCGTAAGTGTCACGAGTGCAAAATAAGTGTGTCTCCTTTGGAGAATTCTAAAGGTTTGTGTTAATGAAGTGTGATGTCACGTATGTAATACCAACTGAAGTGTCTGTGCACTTGTGAAAGTGGTGGATGTACTGACCTGGGGTGAACCTTAATAGGATAGTGTTTGGGGACTATTTAAATGAGGCAATACTTTTGCTGCTTAAGGCTAAAAAATTACTTTTTAGTTAAGTTGTGAGGTAATATTCCTCTGAGGTCTTGGCACTGAATACAATTAAATTTACTAGTGTCTTGGCTTTCTTCATTATGCCAAAAACTAAGTGGTCTTCTGAAACTATATGAATTAGTATTAAGAGTATATTTACGATTTTAAAGGGGTGGGGAGTTTTCTTCAGCAGTAGATACTATTGGCTGTTATATCTTTTTCTGTTGTGCTTGTTATAGAGTCTGAGAGCACTGCATGCAATGATTGGCAGTTGAATTCATTTCTTCCCACTTGCAGTTATAGATGTTAGACGGAATTAATAATTTAAAATTAAAATGGTGGTAGGTACTAAAATTTAAGCTGCAAAAATTGTATTTTGTGATATCAGATTCCCTCAATTAGCTGTTGAAACACAAGAGAAGGAAAAGCAGAGTCTTAATATTTAGCATGAATCCCTTTCAGTTGCCAGTCACTTTTACATGACTTCTGAAACCGTCACACTGCATTGGGTTTTGAGTAAACTTAAAAAAAACAAAACAAAACAAAAAAAACATCCTAAGCATATTCTGCTAACTTAAATAGTTCTGAACTGAAAGAATCTAATGTCTTTACCCACTCCAAAAAGACAGTCTCTCTGCAGTGTGAAAAATTCCAGGTTGAGAAATCTTTCCCCAATTTCTGAAAGTAATATATTTCTTTCCCTATAGTACTTCTGCCCCAAAATCTGCTTCTTTCATTGAACAGCTCCCATTCAACCAGAGTTTTCATGCAACTTAATAGTAGCAGTGTAATTGCTTTTAAAATAGTCTTTGAAATTCAGGAGTTTGCAACAGGAAAGGAATTCTGAAATGAAGAGACTTTGTTTCTCTCCTTTCCTTTCCTACCCTTAAATAGCTTAATCTGGTCAGGAGATGTAAAATGCAAACTTCCTCTGGAAATTTGTTTAGTTTTATTTGGAAGGTATCCTAGTGGTTGCATCTTATTCTCCAGTTCAAGTGAAAGGCTTCAGCAAATTAACTTCAAAAGCAGAGAAATTGTCAGAGGGGAAAGGGAGTGGGGGAGGATAAATTTTGTGTTCAAAGCTGCTAGTGGATTGCCAGGTTTAGCCAGCTGAGAGAGCCTATATGCGAGCCTCAGACTGCCTGGAACAACCTCTTGACTGAGATTAAAGAGCACCAATTTGAATGTATTTAAGCAAAGCCTTAGTATATGCCCAAGATGTTTTAAACACTTATTGTTAGGGGAAAGGAGTATGTACTTATAATCCAGGGCCATCTGTATTTAACTTTTTTCCCAGGCGGGTAAACACCAGGAATATGAACAGAAGCTACTGCAAGAATTGTACAAACTAAATCCCAATTTCCTCCAGCTGTCTACGGGTACAGTTGATAAGAACAAGAACAAAGTGACAGCACTGCAGAGGTATGATGCGTAAGTACTGATGCCAGGCTGGCTGGCAGCACTTTCCATTTAGTTATCGCTTAATTCCTTGTTTCAGTATGCACCCAAACTCTTATTACTGCAATAGTATGTGAATTAATATTGTTAACTGGCAAATATTGCATGTCTGTCTTTGCTATAAGAGGGTGATCTGTGCTGTCACAGCTGAAGTGCTGAAGTGATTTTGCGTATTTGGTATAGAACATATTTTGATTAGATTTGGATACTAACATTTAGGTAATTCAGTGCTGGGGTGTGGAATGAGCTTTAATTCTTTCCCTCTGAAAAGATAGCAAAGCAAAGATGTTTTGTTGTGCCTAGCAAACATACTGGTGCCTCTTTTATTTTGACTACTACATCTCTGTTTTTGAGGGAGAAGGGTGCAGGGAAGTAGGGTCTCTTTAAAAAAGCCACTTGACAGCTTTTGTCTGCTTGGTAAAAATCTTAAATCTTAAGATGGATACTTGGGAGTTATTACAACTTTTTATTTAAAAAACACCTTCATACTGAGGAAAAAAGATAAAAATATATACATTATTGTATATAGTGCTTTTGATCAGGGATTTGAGTCTGTTTTGGGTCAGTTCACCAACTATTGAAATTTAATTTTGACAGAAGTTTGCTATTAGCAGCAATGTTGCACTACAGCTTAAAAGGAAGAAATACTGTATACAGGGAAACTGCTAGGGAAGCTACCACATCTGGAATTTAACTAGGATGCTTGGATAATCTAGCCCTGCTCTTGCAGGAAGTGTCATGATTTTTAATGACTGCAAGTGATCAGGACCTCCAGTTTTACCTTGTCTGAAAGACTGTGGTACCATGTTGTGCCTTGGGCACTGGTTCAGTACTGACTCTAGAAATTTGCTGCCAAGTAAAGCACAAACACCACTTCCTGCAGTTTTCAGTGGTTGATGGTTTTAAATCCAAGGTCTAAACCATCTCTGCTTGACTTGAAACTTGATCGGATGTCTATCACATGATGACAGAATACAGGGAGTAAAGAATGGCTCTTTAAAAATGCAACACAGATTTGAGTCATTAGTTAGCATCTGTGATTATTGGAATCTGGTATACCAATGCTACATCCTGGCATTTAGCAAAAGTACCATGATACTTCCATGACTGCAAATGGTCTGAATTTTAATTATCTGAATGGCCTCACCACATATAGATTTGGATTAATACAGACTCCAGGAGCACTGTTTCGAATTGCCAGTGCAGTTTCCTCCTCCACCAGTGGGATTTTGAAGTCCATTTAAACACTGATTGACACCTGTTGTATGTAACTCAAGCTGGTAAAACTTGACTTGTCTGTTCTGTTTTAATGAAAATGGCCAACTCCCCAGCTTTCTACTCTGTGATCAGCTTCTCGTGTGTGTCTTATTTACTGGTATACCACTACCTTTGTCATGCTAGGTTGAATTTAGAATCTATGCCTCAACATATTTCATAACTGAGTTAGAATTATAGTTTTCACTGTGGGATAAAGCAGAATCTGAGCTGTGAGGGCTCCATATTTATATTCAAATACGAACTTCCATTAATAGCAGGGGAGATGGATAATTACTGGTAAAGACTACTGTTATTCTCCTTGTTCCCCCTTCGCACCCAGGTTTGTTCCTGTTTGAAGTCTCTCTTTGCACTGTTTCTCTTCCCCCCCCCTCCATCCCCACTCCTGTCCCCACTTTTACTAAAGGCAGATGCTGAAATTTTTGCCTGTGTTACTATGTCTGTACAAATATCTCTTAGCATATCCTTCCATAGTTATGCAGACATAAGTTTAGTTGCATACACAGACTCTACAAATGAGAACTAATCCAAAGTTGGGTCCTGATTGGTATTAGTGGGTAATTAAAACATTCTGGGACTTTTTTTTCCATTTCCATCTTTTGTGCGCGTCTTAAGGACCAAAATTCCTTATTATATGAAGGTGTTTCCATCATGAGTATGTAATGAATGAGGATTACTGGTCCATGTCAAAAACGACTCCTTTTTAGAGGTCTGTAGCTTTCATAAGAACTCTCACATTTTTTCTTTTGCTGCTTTTTGCCACTTCATTCTGAGGCAAGATACCTTTTCTTATTCTGGACAAAACGTCAAATAAATTCCATCCTAGTAGTGATTTTTGGACTAAAGAAGTACTTAATCTGTTAGTCTTCTGTTAATTTTACTTTTTTCAGAAATGCACCCAACATTAAGGTGTCCTAGTAGAATCAAATTATGGTTCAAATTTTCTTGTAGCTGGGAGAGATTGGGGAATAGTGAATAAATTGTCACATGCCATGAAAGATGTTTTTTTTTAATTGATCATTTGATGAGAAGGATTTTAAAAAGGATGCCTTTTTCAACTCCTCTTAAGGTGTGCAGAGTGAAGATGAGATTGAAAGATTTGACCTGGTTTATAGGTGTATGTAGAAGCTGATGCCTAGAGCAGGGTAGTTGGAAACCAAATAGAATATTTTCCAATAACATGTGGACAACTACTGTTGTGTTCAAAGATAAATGAATAAGACTTGAAGTTCTACTGTAGCAACAGACAAACTTAATTGCATATGCAGGTTGTCTCGCTTATGAAGTAGACCAGAAAGACGTTAAGACTCTTGGCTTTCTTTTAAAAATACACATGGTACTGGAAATGTTTGTACATTGAGCACTTGCTTGCCTCCAAGTGGGATGCTTTTTTTCAAAATGGGGTGAGCAGATAAAAAAAAAAAAAAAAAATGAAGGTAGAAAACATGGGATTTAAGATTTGTGGCTTATGCTGACAACAATATTGACTTAAGTGTATCTATATGGAGAGAAATTAAAACTGGCTGAAATATTGCCTTCTGACAATATGCCTCCCTACAGCACTAGCTAACTTCCGTTTGAGGTCCTCTTTCCAGATCAACGATACTCTGGGATGAAGCCTACTTTCTTGACATTTTTTAGACTAAAATGAGTTGGACAAATAACTTGGATAGGCTGTTCTAAAATGAGGTGCCCTGGCTGGCCTCGTGGTCTGTTGATGATGCTATGGACTGTCATACTGGCAATCAGATTCAGTTTACACTCTCAAGTCAGCCTAGGAAAATCCTTGGCCATATGTTGGGGGTGTAGAAGATCTACTATACTATAATAGGTAGCAGTTCATGATTAAGAGAACTGGTGAATGTTTCTGGGATGCCATGAAGACATTAAGTTAGAGCAAGTCTAAAGATTTTTATATATATCTGAAGCTGTCAAAATGGATTTTTGCAAATGGACAAGTTTGGACTCCATTGTCGGTGACCCAGTTACCTACCTAATCACTGCAGAAAATGGAGAGTTCTTCCCATTCTTTTCTTGCCAAGGAGCCTTTTTATTCATCAGCCATAAGATCTGTGAGAGCTGCCCAGATTATTCCATTCTTATGGTCTGTCTGGCATGAGGATTCATTTCCTCAGTGTTTAAAACTCTTTTTTAAACACTTTCTTTATAACTTGAACTCTTTTTTTTTTTTTTTTTTTTTTTTTTTTTTTTTTTTTTTTTTTTTTTTTTCACTCTTGCCTTTTTCCAGACCCAACAGTAATAACAAAGATGCCTGGCCATCATTACAGAGTTCAAGTAAATCGGCCAACGGTTTAACACTGGAACACAGGAAAACGCCTCCTATATTAGAAAATGGCACAGACCCAGAACACATGACTCCAGATGGTGGTGCAGACTCAGATTTCGGGTAATTGTGCTGCCTTTTATACTTCAGCTAGCTTTCTTTCTCTCTCACTAATTGGTGTGGAGGGATGATTTTCCAGTCTCCCTGTTTGGAGAGCTGGATTTAAATCCTGATCAGGTCCCAAATGAAGAAATGAGTTTCAGCTCAGCCTTGCCTGTGTCAGAATACTGCTTAATTGGCAGTTTGTTCAAGAGACCCATAGGCACCAAATAGTAGATGATGATACAGGTAAGAACTAAGACGTGTTGACAGAACTATGGGCATAGGAAGTTTCCATAGCTGTCCACAGCATAATCTTAGCCAGAGCTAAACCCCATACTTGTCTGAATGAATATAAAAATTAAAGGAAAAACGAGGGTTTTTTTTAATAGTTCATCAGGAGGCCTTTTAACTGATTATTTTTGAGAAGTTGGCTTGTGATGAATAAAGTGGTAAATGCCAAACTGATCACTTTAAATTCCATCTCTTCACTTTGCTGTGTTCTAGATAGCTTATGGCAGTAGTCGAGTTTTCATGTACTAACATGAATCGCAGCACACTAGATTCCACTGAAATTGCTTTGTTTTGTTTGGGCAGAAGAAGTAATTTGTTCCATGAGTGACATTTTCCCTGCTTCCAATTTTTTCTTCTTTCAGCATCTCCTGCATTTCTTTAGAGTACTGTTGACATCCACTCCCCATCATACATCTTGGGCAGATCTTATTGTATCTTGCAGTCATATTGCATTATGTTCTGATTACACTAAATCTTCCTTAGCTATGCTGAGCTGGATTATTCAGAACTTGGGTGAGACAACTCTGAAAACCCAAAGTATTGCAGGATGTAGTGTTCCTGATTCAGAACCTAACCTTTTTAAGTCAATATTGAACCAATGCCTTAACAAGGTGAATAAGGATCATTGTACTACTGAAGGTGCCACTTCTTATTGAGAATTAAGAGGAGTCCTGTTCAGCTATGGTCAGAAAACCTGTGTGTATTTTACCCTTGAGTAGAAATACTAACAGAAATTGTGGCAAATGCCAGATAATTCTGCATCTAAACTTCCCTCGGTTCTAGTTATCTCAGGTGTTCATAGTTTCATTCAAGTGGTGGTTCTGCATATAGCTGAATAGTAGCTATGTTGCCCCCCAGGTCTGGTTGTATTTTAGCGATGAGCAATATTTAAGCTGTTCTTCCATCTTTCTTGATGGAACACATTACATGAGAATGTTGAAACAGTGACCCGTGAATAACAAGCATTATTTGTTCATGTCATCTTAGCTTCTAAAACCTACTCGGCATTTAATTTAATCTCTTTATGTAGCTCCCAAGTATAATCTGTGTTGGTTTTTGTACTCTGATTGCCATAAGCAGCCATATTGTTTCTACTCGAAGCCAAGTATATGATTTGTTAACATTTTTGTAGGACTGAGGTTCTAGTTAAATCTTTCCCCTGTGGAAGGTTGAATGCTTTATGAAGGGCTTGCAACAGAATTATTGCTCTGTAGTTGGGCCATAGCATGCTACCATGTGTGCTAATATGAGAGCATTTACTTTTAAAGCAATTGAACATACTCAACTGTAGAGTGAAATCTAATTTTTAAGGGACTTCCAGTTGAAACACTTACAAAAGACCGGTGACACTTTTTTGCCCTCAAAGATTTTAAGTAATTGAGGCTCAGTTCTAATACTGAATGTAAGGTGGTGGTTAACTAACAGGCACAGAAATTGCTGTTGTTCCTTCAGTACTCTGACTTGCACATAATCAGAGTGGAGGAAAGAAGAAACTGTTCTAAGCCTAGGTCACTTCTTCTTTTTTTACTCTAAAAAGAAAAAACAAATAATATCAAATAATTAAGTGACTACAGCATAAAGTATTCAGACTTCACAGTACCAAAATGCATGGACACTTCAGTTGGGTTTAGAGCGCGGCACTAAATGTTAATTATTTTGTTGTATTTGGTACAAAAATAATACAAATTAATGTCGTTTAGATGATGCTGTACATTGAACTGTGGGCTTGTAATTTTCATAAGCTCATCATGTTAGTTCTGACTTCAAGGCAAATGTTTATGGTTGCTCAGCCTTACGTTCCCTAGACCACTGCATCCATGGGAGTGGATAAGATGACAGCCCAAAAGCTGCATTACAGGGACTTGGTGGGCCTACCATGATCCCTGTAAACTAGATAATTGGTACACTTATGGGTGCCAAAATGCCTACTATAATGGCTGAGGTTGTGTTTACAGGAAACGCCTTTACTGTTGACTGAACAGAATTTTGTAGTGGTGTATTTTTTTTTAAATTTTATTTATTATTTCCTTTGCCTCCGTCTTCTTTCTCTATTACCATTTTTTTTTAAGCTTGTGCTCTCAGATTTTTCCTGTTCCTTGGAGACTGAACTCCCTCTTGTTTTTAGTAGTTCCTCTGACAAAGCTGAATTGCCAGTGGCACAATATTAAGCAAAGTTCAAACTGCAGATGCCACTAGATTCCTTCTTTCAAATCTAAAGGATATCACTAGTATTTAAAGGAGTTGCTTGTACCTCTTTCTAGCACTAAATGCATTTGGTGGTGCTGAGGATATTATTCGCTGGTCATTGAAATAGCAAAACTGTGGCACCAGATCTATTTTTATGGAATGTGCAGGACTTAGGGATAATATACTTAAGATTGAAAATGGGTACAGTACTGCAGTAACACAAGAATCCTATTGTTTGAGTGGCCTAGAATAGGACTGACCAACTTGGCAACACACATGCCACAAGTCACATGGGTAGCTTCTGTGTGGCACACAGCAGATGAGGGAGGGGACAGGTAGCACAGCAGCAAATGGGAGGAAGCAGAAAGCAGAGCAGTGAATCAGGCAGGGAGCCCAGGGCAAGAAGCAACCTGCCCCCTCCCCCCCCCCCCAAAAAAAAAAAAAAAAAAACAATCCAGAAAACCCCCAGCTAATCAGGTAGGGAGCACAGGGCAGGGAACAGAAAGGAGAACAGCAGGTTGGATAGGGGAGGGGATCTGGGTAGCACTTGGGACAGGTGCAGGGCTAATTTATGGTACACGTGCCAAAAATGTTGACCCCCACTGGCCTAGAGAACATTCTGAACACTTTAAATCTTTTGGTTTGTTGCTCTACAGGAAAAAAGGAACACACAGAGTGGATTGTGAAAGTAAATGGGTGGATTTTCCTTCATCATCTTGTGAAATCTGGTTTTGTGCTGTCTTTAGTGGTATAATACTCATGAAATAATCTGTTTTTGTGTACTTTAGTTGTTCTCCATGGTTGCGTACATCTTACTTGATTTTTTTTTTCTCCTTTTCTTTTCTTCCCTCCCTTTCTCCAGCCCTATCGACAAACCTACAGATTCTCTCAGTATAGGAAATGGTGACAACTCACAGCAGGTACAGTTTGAAAGTATAACAGATTCAGTTGATTTAGTTCCGTAACACTGAAGTCCAACTGCAAGCTGTCTTTTCAGAAGCAGATGTTTTATGAAATAAAATTTGCATAACAAATTAATATCTGATGACTGATAGGTAACTTTAAAATTTTGCTAAAAAAGTCTGCTTCTAGCTCACTTGACATTGAGTGCTCAGAGGACTAATATTTAATCAGACCCCCTGCCCCCAGTCTAAGCTGAATTTTTGTTAAGGTACTTAAGTAAACAATACATAACGTAAGTGTAAAGATGCATATCTTGTTTTCTCTCTTCTCTTTTGCCACTAGATATCAAACAGTGACACACCTTCACCACCACCTGGTTTATCAAAACCCAATCCAGTTATACCCATCAGTTCATCCAATCACAGTGCACGGTCTCCCTTTGAAGGGGCTGTAACAGAGTCACAGTCGCTCTTCTCGGACAACTTTCGGCATCCCAACCCCATCCCAAGTGGGCTTCCCCCATTTCCCAGCTCTCCACAGACTTCCAACGATTGGCCAACAGCACCAGAACCACAGAGCCTCTTCACATCAGGTATGAGAGTGGTTTAGTTACTAGGATCCTTTTTTTTTTCTTTTTTCTTTTTTCTTTTTCTTTTTTCTGATAGCTATAATGATGTGGAAATAGAACTACTACTGTAGTCACTTCCCAAGTACACTATCTGCTTGTTCTTTAAAAGTGATTTATATTTTAATACTTATTGTGCATTTCAAATATCCTATATTTTATGAAAAATATTTATATCAATAAAACTTGCTGAAACCATGTTTATATAATGTGTAGCTTCTGCCTACACAAGCGTGGAATGGGATGTAAGGTGGGGGGGTATTAATTTTGTCTTTGGTCACCTAAAATAGCTAGATTTTTTTTCACTTTTTTAAAGATATTTTTTGTGTATTCAGAGTTATCAAATATGCCTGATTTGTAGGACCTGGAAGGTGCTTGCATTCTAGAGCCACAGGGAAGTAGGGTTGGAAGAGACTTCCAGAGGTCATCTAGTCCTACCTCCTGTCTGAAGCAGGATCATCCCTATCCCAGCCATAATCTAAAATGTGTAAGACCACCCTCCCCCCGACACAACATAAACCTCTAACACCCTAACCTGCCACAGGTAAAACAGGGGAACCACGGTAGCCAATAAAATGCTTTTATAAAATTGCATTTAATACACTCAAAGTCCTGGGTAGAGGGCCATGTCCCTCTCACCACAGGAAGGCTAAAACCCTCACAGTTCATACCAGTCTGACTACAGGGTAAAATTCCTTCCTGACCCCAGATGTGGTGATCGGTCTGACCCTGAGTGTGTGAGGCTAGACCCTCTACCAGGATGCTCCGGCTTTACTCCTAGCAAGAAAACTGGCACACCCCTGTTGAAGTCTCCATTCTTAGCTATAGCCAACACCCATTGTCTCTGGGGAGGCTTATGATACTCTGATGTATAACGGAAAAAGGCAGTTGGAGGGAGGGGAGCAACTAGCAGAGCCCAGAATCATAGGAAATATCCATGGCATAGCTATACCTAGGTCATCCCCGACCAGTGGCTGTCCAGCTTCTTGTAGACTCTCCATTGCTGGAGGTGTTCAACTACCCTAAGCAGTAAGGGTGTGCAAAATGGGCCGTATTCAATTCGTATTTGGCCCGAATTGGGGATAGGGATTCAATTAGTTGATTCAGATCACTGTCCCAAATTCAATTCGGCCGAATCTGAAGATTCAATGCTGGTTCGACATAGACACAGCTTTAAATGTTTTTTCTATATATCTTGGGTTACCAGGCATGGCTTGTGAATGCTGTGATGCTGGGGCGGATGGAGCATCCCACAAGAGTGCAGGGGGGTCCCCCATGTGCTTGGCAGCAAACTCGGAAGTGAACCAGAAGCGCTTCTGGTCTACTTCTGGGTCTGCCAGGGAGCATGCAGAGGCCCTCCCTGCACTCCCCAGCTCAGCAGTCGGCCACAGGGGGGTACCAGTTGCCCCCTGAGACCCAGGAGGCACCAGTTGCTGAGCCAGAGGGGTGCAGGGAGGCCGCCGCATGCTCCCTAGTGGACCCAGAAGTGCTTCTGGTCCACTTCTGGGTCTGCTGCTGAGCATGCTGGAGAACCCCTCGCGCTTCTGTGGGACACTCCATCTGCCCCAGCATTGCAGCATTCATGAGCCTCCTGCTGCCTAGAGGTATGTAGAAAAAACATTTAAAGCTGGGTCTATGACTGAATTGCTCAGAATCAATTTGGAGGGCTCTGATCTCTATTCAGAGAGATTAAAGGGTCTCCTGATTCAATTTGGAGTTTCGGTCACTGAATCGGGCTGAATCTCCGCCGAATTGAATTGGGGACCGAAGCTTGGCACAGCCCTAGTAGGCAGTCTACTCCATTGCCTCACTGTTTCCACAGTTAAAACGTCTTTTATGGATATTTAATCTAATCTAATCTAAACTTACTTTGTTGCAACTTCAAGCCATTGGTCCAATGCCGTTTCTGTAAGCTGAACATGCTTATCTCCTTCAGCCTCTCCTCATATGACTTACCTTTCAAGTCCTTGATCATCTTTGTTACTTGCCTCTAGACCCCCTCTAACTTCGTCATGTCCTTTTTTAAAAACATGTTGATCCCAGAGCTACATGCAGTACTCCAGATAAGGAGTAGTGCTGAGTAGAGAGGTAACATAGCCTAAGTTGCTTTCCTGCTTACATGAATGGGATGTTCTGTATTTGGTACATCCTTGTTATGTTATGTTGTTGATCACTACAAAGTGCTTAAGTGCACAAATGCTCTATAGGAATTTTGGTTTTTGGAGAACTCTGCATCTTGGAAAGTCTCTGGTTTGACTAAGTGACTTACTTTCAGGTCATTTTAATTTAAGATCAGCATAACTTTTGTTTATGAGTTAAGTATCAAAAGGTAAGCTACATACCTACTTGAAGTAATAATCTTGTTAGTCATTAGTAAGGAACTGTGTGGGGTACTGCAGTTTGAAAGACTGCATGCAAGGAATGAGAAACACGGGGAGAAGAGAACTTTCAGGCACCATTCGTACTTTCTCCCCTTCATCTCCCACAGGATTTTTTTTTCCCCCACCAGTGTCAAATGATGATGGTCAAAAGCATTGTTGCTATTTAACTGAACCTTCATACTTAAAACTTTTCTTTATACATAGTGTGTGTCAATCTGTCTGTATACGTTAAATGTCCAGCTAAAGATTAATGTGAAAGTTAATAGACCCAATTTTTTTCAAGAAGTGAAATAAGCAACTTCAGAAATTTTTTCCAGTCGCCTAAAGCAATAATTTTTCCAGTATTCTGTTTTACACTGGCTTCATTCACCCTGTCAGCAGGAGGAGATGATGCAGATGAGTGAGAGAGACTGCCTTTATATAGAGAGGCTTCAAAATGTTTCTCTTCAATACATTCTCTGCATTTTTCTTAAATCTAATGACCATTCCCAGCATTCATGGAGACTATGAGCTAAATAGCTTTAAATATAAACAACTGCATAAGAAAAAGAAAATAGAAATTCAAGGAAGTGACTTTGGGCAATTCATGCCTGCAACAGTCATTAAAATGCAGGGTTTTTTTAGTACAGCTATTTTCTACAGCTTTTTTGTGTTAAATGTGCACTTTGATAAGAAATCAAGTAATTCAGCTTCTTTTATGCATTGTCAACAATCAATTTAGAGGCTTGCGTAGAATTATTCAAATACACAATGAAGCCAGATTTTTGCTCCCCTCCTACAGAATTTGTTGCATAGCAGCCCTGAAGCACAGTAGAGCTAAAAGCAAAATATTGAATTGAACAGAACTTTTATTTAATCAGGCTTAGGAGTTTTTTTGCTTAGTCACACTTCCACTGAGTAATATATTAGTGGATAGATCTTTTACTGGTACAAACTCAGCATTCAATAAGAGCATCTATTTAGTTGAACTGTATTTTAGTTGTTTTTTGTTGTTAAAGGTATTTATTAAAGGCCCTGTTTGTGTACTGAACTTGGACTGTTTGTTTCTGCTGGATCATGCAATAAAACAGGAGATTATGATCTCGGATTCTCACAAATCCCTGGTTAGGTGCAACAGGAAGATAGGATGATCTATGGAAGTAGATCTAATTTAAGTAGCAGATGATTTTGATGCAGTATTGTAAACTGTATATAGCGTGAAATAATATTGACATTTAATTGGATTGAGGTTGAAAATACTGCCTTATTAAAAATGGTCTCTCTCCTTCCCCCCACCTCTTTTTTTGTGCATAATTAAATATAATTATTTTTCTGTCCCACAGAAACCATCCCAGTATCCTCCTCTACAGACTGGCAAGCAGCTTTTGGGTTTGGTTCCTCCAAACAGCAAGAGGACGACTTAGGGTTTGACCCCTTTGACATCACCCGCAAAGCCTTAGCAGACCTGATTGAGAAGGAACTGTCAGTCCAAGACCAACCTTCCCTCTCGCCCACATCTCTTCAGAACCCTACCCCACACACTACAACCGCCAAAGGGTCAGGCTCCGGATTCCTGCATCCTGCTGTACCCCCAAATGCCAACTCTCTCAGTAGCACCTTTCCAGTCTTGCCACAGAGGTTCCCACAGTTTCAACAGCACCGAGCAGTTTACAACTCCTTCAGTTTTCCAGGCCAAGCAGCTCGCTATCCTTGGATGGCCTTCCCACGCAATAACATCATGCACTTGAACCACACAGCAAATCCCACCTCAAATAGTAATTTCTTGGACTTGAATCTCCCACCACAGCACAGCACAGGTCTGGGAGGGATCCCTATATCAGGTAGGTGCATCAGGGCAGCCATGAATATGATCCAGTTTGTTCATTCTTTTCAGCTTCTCTGAGCCAGGGTGGGAAGAAGGAAGCTAGAATGCTACTTGTGACTTATCTTAGGATTTGTTGTGGGGAAAATATTGTTTTAAATGAGCCCTTTTCAGCTTCTTTTCAGAAGGTATAATGGGTGCTTAGCCTTGTAACATTGAGCTTTATAAGGAAGGTGGAGTATTTTGTGCCCGATAATTTTATGCCAAGATATTGGTTCTTCAGTCTTGCCAGGTTTTGGCCTTCCATGAGAACTTAAAGGAAGTGTAGGCAATGCAACTCCAGAGTTGACATGCATGTGCTCATCAGAGTTTAAAAACACTGTGCAAAATATTCTTTATGGTAATTTGTGCAAACATAAGGGATAAAGCCACCTGTCAGCTGCCTCAGCTGGCTTGTTCCCTTCCACACATAACAACGTATTACAACTTCCCACACATAACAACATATTACAACTTTCGTTGCTATTTTATTTGTGTGCTTCAAATGGTTTTAATGTTATGCTGATTTTATACACATGGTCATGAGCATTCAGTCAGCGAAGAGGATTCATCCACACTCAGAGGTGCAATCTGTGGTGTCCTGTGAAAACAAATGCTGATTTTAATATGGTAGTTCATGGCTTGATTGCTATGATATTGCAGCAGGCTTTGTAACTGGAGGGCTAAATGGACAAAAATGTTCTGATTCACTGTTCATTTTCAGGGTTTGGGAACTTATTATGTTCCCATGCCTATTTTAGTAGCTTTGCCTCAGCAGGTTCTTCTGTAGGGAGGAGAGAAATTGACTACTGTTTGTGCTTTAAGTTAACTAGCAGCTTAAGAAAAAGGGACTCCAAACTGTTTATAGGCACAGGATGAGAAAAGTTACTCCATGAGATATTACCAGTATTATGATCTTTGCAGCTATTTTGCATAAACATTTAAATGATTTTAAATCTAAAGACAGAGTGACCTTGGAAGTATGTGCTGTGTATTCTTGCTCCTTGAGTGTAGACTTCTAATTTTTTTTTGGTTTTTACCTCTTCACTTTTATTAAAAGAAAAAAGAAAAAAGGCATGTCAGGGGCTTAGGGTTTCCATAACTTTTTCTAAACTTCTTGCTAGGGGAAAAAACAGTAGTATTTGTAGCCTAGAATAAATGTATGGACCTTTTTAAGCTATCCTCAACGGAGATGTTGGCTACCTTGAATTAGCTGGCACTCAATTCGGACGGAAAAGGGAATTTTATTTTAGACAAATGAGAGAGGTTCCCTACCCTCTCTCTCTTTTGTTAAACTGCACTTTGGGGATATTTCACTCAAATGACAGTTTGATGAAAGGAAGAAGACCTTTTGCACTATTAAATGTACACTTGAAGACCCTGAAAGCTGTTCTTGAGTTCTGACTTGCTATGTTTTGTCCTGGACCAAAGCTAGTGGCAGGGTTACGGTCCCATTTTATGAACTATTATGGCTAGAATATCCCGGAGTGTTGCAAAGCAGATAATCCCAGCTGTGTAATAAGGCTTTGATCCCAACGCTGATGGGCTTGCAAGATCATTCTTAAAATTGCATCATTTTAATGGCCTTCAGGCAGATCGTTCTTGGCACTTGTTTTTTTTACACACAAAGTCACAGCTTTATGCCCACTAGTGCATTTTCCCTGTCTGTTTTTGAGAATGCCTGGATAATGCCCATAAATAACCATGTTCTGATGGAACAGTTTTTCCATATAACTTCCATTATAACTAACTTCTAGTAACAAAACCAGAAAAATTCTTCTGGAAGTTGTATGGTATAGTTTCTAAAGTAATTGGAACTACCTTTAAATGACTTCCTAATTACAGAGGGTGGTGTTATTGCCTGGTTCTCAGGTGAAAAGGAGTCTGTTTGCTCTCCGGTAAAGTATCACCTCCATATAAATAAACTGACTGCTCCAAATCTGGCCTAACTACTAATATACCAGATTGTTTTGTTTTTTTGTTTCTGTACTGGCCAAAATGAGATCCTGGTCTGTGACTAGGAATTGGGAATGTTTCTTCTACAATATTTTGGCTTATTACAGTTTATCTTTAATATTCTAGCTCTTGGCAACTGGCATTTCAGCTGGGTCTCTGAGCTACAGGCCCCTCTAACAAAAAAAAAATCATTCTTTGCAGGCAATTTAGTATATTTAGACATGCGCAAAGAAAGACATAGTGAAAGCAGTAGAACTGTAGGGTAGGGTGTGGATGCCTCTGTACTCGCATAATAATGTTTTATAAAGGATTGCTTAAATTCCTGCAAGGTAAGCTTAATGTGTGCGCTTACAGTGGGTTGGCTACTGCATGTTAGCTGTCTGTACTTTCTTATCCTGCCTTCATGGAGGGGCAACCTATCTCCTCCTTACAGTGGGATAAGAGCCGGCATATACTGTCAGTTACTAGAAAGTAGCTGAGATGCTGTAAACTCACACACAAGCTTATCTTGTGATAACTTGTTCACATGCCCATACCTCTTACAAGGTATAGTTTTTATAAAGGAATAAGCCAGCCTGGTTTAATACATTAGTAAAACTGCACCCACACAGAACACTGTGCTGGTAAAGGGTGGGAGAGGAGGGGGGGAAAACGATTCTTAGCTAGCAATTACATCAGTATGAAACCTATATGTAGGCCAGGCCTTGAAAGCTGCATTTACACTAATGAACCTATTATTGTATTCTAGTACACTAATTTACATGCTAACAAGGCCCTGCATGAGAGATTTTTTTTACTGCAAAGTGAATTTTAATTGAAAGGCATACATGAAATTCCTTTCAGTCAAGCAGAAAGCAACAATAAAGCCCATATCAATATTAGAGAATTTTAGGAAAAATAGAAGCAGCATTTAGTTTAGCAGCAGGAGTCCAACTTCCAGCATTTAACTTACATGGAGGATTAAAAAAGCCAGGGGTGATCCTGAATCTTGTCTACAAACTTCAACAGCACTGCTTCCATCAAACTGAATGTTTCCAAGGATCAGTCATTGGAAAATGAACACTTACAGGACTGCTTTACCAATACTTGAATCAGTATGTAAGCTGAAGACTTGATCCTCTTATGCATCCAATTAACTTTTTTTATCATCTCACTCATTTTCAGCTTTCTCTTTTGTGTTCAAAATCAAACTGATTTAAAAAGAGACACTTCACAAAACTTTGCAATTTGAAACCAACAGACTATTTTGCTACTCATCAAGCCTAAAATTGGCTTGCATTAATACAAAGAATTTGGACATTTAGTCAGTTAAATGAAACTTTTAGTGCTAAATTTTTGTATGACAATAATGGAATGCTTTAAATATAGCTCTTTTTATTTTTTTGCTATTCTAACAATTCATATTTTATTTTAGAGCTGTAAAGGGAGACCACTTCAGCATTTAACTTTGGTACTCCAGTGCAGTTGCATTTTTCAGCATTTAATAAGGTGCCTTAAAGCTACCTCCTACCTAATCTAGAACAGAACTATTTATTTTTCTTTCCAAACCTTGAAAACAGAGCTGTTGGTAGTAGTCAGCAACCATAAATAGAGGGATACATGGAGCAAGATAATATTTAAAAAAAAATTTAAAGGACCATATTAAAAAAACCCATCCAGTGTGTATTTGATGGTTTTCTATCAGCTAAAGTAATGCCAGTTAGACTTAACATCTCTGCTGTGATTTACAAATGACATTAGATGGTAATAATAGTATGCATTTATAATTGAAAGGCTTTTAATACCTATCTAGGCAGTTGGCCTCATACTCAAATGCATAAAGACTCAAGACTGGAGTGTTCTTGGGTTGCATGTGCCTGTAAAACATTTAATATTTCCTTTAACCCCCTGGCAAACAGATTTGATTGGTTCTAAAAATGAATTACTAGAGACTTTAATTGGCTTCACTAATTGTTTTAATGGTATGGCTTCTGATTGTGAGGGTTTTCATGGTGACATTTTGTTTGGTATAGAGTGGCTGTCTTGTGGGTGAGTGGCTGGAAGACTTGTCATACAGTTTTAATTTTGTCAAAATACTGCTGGAAAAGGCAGTGGAGTTACTGTCTTCATTGCTGGGCAGTGTGATTGATTCTAGAGAAGACTTGTACCTCAGAAAAATGTAGGCTTAAAAACTGGTTCTCCAGTGAATCATGGCATAAAATATCTGGTTGGGTGCTTACAGACATGGGGAAAAAAAATTAAAAACAGTGCTCTACTTTCAGCTCCGCGTGCCCCTGCACCAAGCACAGTATGTGCTCCAGAAGAGAAATTGTATCAGTTTGACCCAGCTCACCAAGCATCTGTATAGCATGCATGCTTCAGCAGGGCATTTTGGTGCTTTTATCTAATAGCTGATTGAATAAGCTACTAGAAAAAAAGCACCCAAAAGCCCCACTGAAACACGTAAGCTATACAGATGCTGGAGTGGTGGGTCAAACTGACGTGATTCCTCTTCCAGTAAAGCACTGGGGCTTTGTCCCCCCCCCCAGGTCTGTCAGCACCCTTAATGGCCCAGAACAGTGCACTAGTTTTGGGGAAGTGTTGAAATAGGTCTTGGATTAGTGTTTATGGACTCTTTTTTTTTTTTTTT